GTATGTATATTTATATACTTTTGACAACTAAGCCATGTAGTCAGATCATTTATCTTTTCCTGCACTACTTTTTGATTTCCCTTAATAATGGTTTGTCACTATTATCGACCTCTGATCCCCCAAAATCTCCCTTAACTGTAAATCTTAGTAAGTTCAAGTACATCACACATTCCATATTCTTGAATCAGTGTCCCAGAACTTTGTGACCATTACAATCTAGATAGGTCAACCTCTATAAAAGTGTTGTCTAGAATTTTCTCTAATGATGAAATCATTCCATGTATATACTGTTCAATGTGGCAGCTGCTAGCCACATTGTAAGTAGCTATTGTAACTAGTATGAGAAACTGAATTTTTAATTTTATTGAATTTTAATTTTCATTTATATAGCCACTTAGAGCTAGTGACTACCAATCTGAACAGAAGAGCTCTGGAGCTATTACATACCTACAATTTGGGATCTACTTTCCTCAGTTCCCTGATCAGTCATCTCCCTTTCTGCATTTACTTCCTTATTTTAGAAGAGCATACACTCTACTTACTACCTTCCTGAAAAATGGTGCATGAGAGATAAATTTTTCTAATTTAACTATAAAAATTTCCTTCTTTTAATCTCGTATTTCACTGATCATTTGAGCACAGATTTACACTGGAAATCATGTTCAGTGTTACTGTTAAGAAATATAATCATTTGATTATTGATCCTTTGTATAAATTGTTTACTCACTGAGGCTTGCAAAGTTCATAATAATCTGAAAATTTGTAATAATCTATCTCAGTTTGGTCTATTGTAACTCATCGTGATGGATGTTCAATGGGCCCTTTTAAAATGAAATACATTGTTCTATAGTTCCAAGAAATTCTCTTTAAATTATTTCATTGGTGATGTCTTCCTTTCCAGTTTCTCTGTTTTCTCCTTCTAAAATATCTGTTATTCAGGCCATTCCCCTAATTTTTATCTTTTCTTTCTTATTTTCCATGGATTTACTGTTGTGGTTGTGGTTGTTGTTCTCCTTTCTGATCAATTTCCTCAACTTTTAATATATCATTTCATAAATGCAATGACTACTTTCACCTTCCGAAAATTGAGTTGTTTTATTTTGTGTTTGCATTATCTGTCTCTTCCAAAATGTTTTTATGCTTTTTTGCTTTCATCTCCAACTTCCATATCGGTGGCTTTCCCTGAGATGTTTATAGTTAGGAAAGAAATTAAAAAACCAATTAGAAGCTCTGTGTACCTGGTAATAACTACCAACAATGAGATTCACAGAGAGATGATGTAGTTAAAACCTCTCCCAGAGATACCATTTATACTGGCATTTTTAGATGTTTTTTTTCTTGGTCAAGTTAAATACCTTAAAGGAAATTATTTTGCTCACGTAGCTATTAAGTAATTTTGAAACACATGCTAACACCTAAAATTTTCATTTTAAGTTTCCATAATTACAAAGGATATAATCTTTAGCATATTAAATTTCTAAAAAACATTTTCTTTTTATAATAATTTTGGACTGACAGGGAAATTACAAAAATATACAAAAAGTTCCCATATATCCTTCACCCAACTTCCCTGATGTTAACATCTCACAGAGCTGAAGTACTGTTACCAAAATCAGGAAATCAATACTGATAAAATATCATTAACTAAACTACAAACCTTATTCCAGTTTTATCAGTTTTTCCACTGATGTTTCCATTTTCTGTTTCAGGATCCAATCCAGGAATCCATAATGCATTTATTTTAGTCTCTCCCTAATTTCTGGCCTTTCATAATTCCTCTACCTTTCCTTGTCTTTCATCATCTTGATTCTTTTCAGGATTACTGATCAGTATATTGTAAAATAACCTTCAACTTGGCTTTGTCTAATGTTTTCTCATGATAAAACTGAGGTAATGCATTTTGGGCAAAAATACCACAGATATCATGTTATGCCCTTCTCAGTAAATCACAGATCTGGGGTCCATGATATTGATGTCTCATTCCTGGGGATGTTAACTATAATGTCTGTTAGTTAACATAATGTCAGGATTCTCTATGTAAATGTACCATTTTTCCCTTTGCAATTAAACAACATTGACTTAAAAACAAAAACCAATAAATCAATCTCTTAAATATATCAAAGGATCTTAAAAACTATTATCAATTTTATAATTATCATCATCCATTGAACAAATTATTTCTCTACTATTGAACTAATTATTCTTTAACACTTAAAATTTTTTCATTGTTCCATTTTCTCCTTGAACTTCTATTTCCATTATATTTATTCTACTGAATGTTATCCTATGTAATATATCTCTGTACTTGAAAATTTATTGATGGTCTAATCATTATTCCCTGTAATAATGTATTTGTATATAAATGTAAATTTTTTTAATTTCTTGTGATCGTAAGGTCCTACATATCAACCCAAAAGAAATTCTGAATTATTACTGTAATTAATTATAGTACATAATGGATAAGAACACATATATATTCCACATTTGAAAAACTAATTATTGAGCAAAAAATAAAATTTTACTGAAAATACATCTCTTAATGAAGTAGGGGGCTCACCTTTTTTAACTTATGTGTCCACAAATGAATTATTACTATCAGAATGAGACAAGGTTCAGCATTAATCCTATTCCTGTTTTTTTATTTTTATAGATAAAGTTGCTTAATAACTGTACACAAGACCAGAAAATCTTTTGATGTAGTGATGTTACTCCCTCTATGAGCTCCCTTATGCTAGACATCATACAATAACCTAGCATAAAAAAACATTTTTAATAATCCAACATCTACTTAACCCAAAAAACAAACAAATATTATGTCCTTCACAGTAATCTCTTTCTTCAGGCAAAAAAGAATTTATACAGTTTCTTCACTTTCACTGTATTGTAATAGGATTTAACCCCATAAACAAAGCCTCCTTTTATATATCAAGATTATTTTTATAACCCAACTATTATCCATATATACTGATTTGCTATTTAATTAAAAAATCATAAATAACTGATTGCATAAGGCTTTAATTGAACCAGAACATTATATTGTAAAAATTTTATCTTTTTGCTGGTACAGGTTTTTTTTCCTGAATATGTAAGGAATACTTCTATCACAAAGTGTTTTAGTATTGTTTAAAAAAAAAACTTCCAGACTAAATTTAATTGTTACTGATTCAAAGGCTAGTGTAAGCACACCTAAATTCCATTGTTATCTGGTTGATGAGAGCCAGAGCATAGAGCAGGAAAGTACAAAAATTAATATAGCAAGGATGTAAGTCTAAATTAGCAAAGTTAAGGTGTTAAAAGTGCTACAAAAGTAGCATTTGGACGCACCTGGAAGCTCCACAATATAAAATTGAGTTAACTACCAGAACAAGCAAAAAGAAAGGCCAGGTTTCAAAGAGGAGAGGGAGAGTTCCAAAGACACATAAAACAAAGAAGAACACACTCCTAGAATCAAATAGTGATCAGAAATACTAAAAGGGAATGGTATGCCCTATAACTGTCTTTCATCTAAAGCAAGATTTAAACAAAAAAAGTATAAACTAATATTAATATGTTCTCAAAATATCTATGCTAGTTTCAAATAGGAAACTCCCCTGGAACCAGTATGAAAAGTGAAAAGCCTCCAATTCCCTAGGAATTATCTTGTATAAAACAAAGCATAAAGAAATTGAACAACAACCCAGCCCTAAAATTACTAAAGCATTTTAAAAGCAACCAAGTGATGCCTTTTATACAATGCAGCAGTAAGCTTCCGTCTAACAAACAGTATTATTCTGCCTTTGTATAATAATATCTTTCTGTAGTTACACAAATTATTGATTCTATTTCAAATTTATACAACAATAAAACAGACTATTAAAGGAGAACCAAAGTATTTACTAAACACTAAAATCATTTGATACTCTAGATTACAATTTTTTTCTTGAGAAAGTAGCCTTCCTTTTACTAACTATATGTATAGTCTCATATAAATGCATACTAATTATGTGATTAAGTCACTGGTCACAACTGTTCTTCAAACCAGCAATGAATCTGATAAGATCTTTACAATGGATCTGACCAGAAGGGCTAAGTTGGGAATGTCTGAAATGCAAAAAAGACAGAAAAATAATGTGAGCGTATTATGTGAAAGGTCTTTTGGTCAAGGTACAGAACAGGACCAATTTTGTTACTTGTTTTTTTATACACATGGAGTAAGCAGGTTAGAGCTTTGTGGCACCAGTACATCTATAGATCAAATGAATAGAATAACAGAAAACAAGATGAAGCTGCACCCGTCTCTTAGGGTAGAGTACAGTCTTAGGAAAGGAAATCCAAACTTTAGAAGAGTCACAATTTCAAAGTTATTTCAGTTCTCTAAGTATATATTAAAGTACATTGTTTTTCATGGTAATTAGCAAAGCTGCCTTTAATGTCAGGCTAAATCAGCAGCACTAAACAGGAAAGGGCTATGCATTTGGTCCACAGGTAAACAAGAGTTTAAAGGGAGCCGGGAATATTGACAGCAGAATCACAGTAAACAAATTTTCAGGGTGTCCAACCTTTTGGTGTCTCTGGGCCACACTGGAAGATGAAAAGTTGTCATGGGCCACACATTAAATACATTGTAACATGTAATCACCCAAAAATCTCATAATGTTTTAAGTAAATTTATGATTTTGTGTTGGGCTGCATTCACAGCCATCCTGAGCTGCATGTGGCCTGTGGGCTGCAGGTTGGACATCCCTGCTAGGTTTAAATAAAAGGAGAAAATGGATAAATTTGAGGTGCTCTCTCTCCAACATATGGAGACATTTTTCTTTCTGACAAACATTTATTTTTATTTTTTAAAGACCTTACTAATAATCCTCACCTTTACTGAATGACAGGAAGAAAATATTCCCCAAATGACTAACTAAAATCACCTCAATTTGACTCAAGATTCACTTAAAAGTGATAATGATACAGTTGAGGTCTGAAAAGGTTTCCATTATATACAGTTTAAATAACTTTTAAAGACTCACCTGTAGGCTTAACTGAATAAAACCCAATGGCCTCTCCTTTCTTCCACAGAATCTTAGCATAATCAGTACTGCTATGACACAGGAATGGGATCTCATTTCTCTCCATTTCCTGTTTTCTATAAATAATTCGATTCAGAACATACAGAACCACTCTCTCCCCAAGAGTTCTCACCTACAAAGAGAGTCAAACACCAGGCACAACAGTTATAATATGCATCAATTCAGAAATGCTATTTACCTTGCTCTCTTCTTCATACCTCATGCTGGCATTCAAAGAACTTTGAATGCATTCAAACTGTTCAGTAAACATTTTATTATGACAGAGACAAGGTTAATCATTTGTGCTAATGACAATCCATTTCCATACATCCATATTATGCATGGACACTACCTCTCAGCAAAATTCTAAAACAGGCAACAAGAGTTTGCAGTGCACCAATCCCCAGCATCTCCTCTTTGGCACTAGTGTTTTCTTTCTGCTTCCAGCTGCCTAAATGAGGGGTCTCAACCACCCTAAATGCTGCCTCCATCACGCCTTTGTTTCAACCCTATTTCACCCCATTTCAGCCTTCACAGGGGGAGAAAGAGAGAGAGAGAAAAGGCTTCATGCTCTCTATCCCCTGAAGACTTTAAGAACAATTACCTCATTTGACGAGCAAAGCCATAATGCTCCTGGGGAAGGAATCTATCGCATCTTTTCTAGGTAAAGTGTTCATTGAACAGTTGTGTTTTTGTTGTCTAACTATAAGGAATACATTCCTACCCACCAACAGCCACACACACAAACACGTGCGTGGGCACGAGTGCGCGCGCACACACACACCCTGCCAGACCTGATGAGTGATGATAGTGGCACTGGGTAAGTCTAGTGAAAACATACTTGGGGCAATTCCAAAACGGAAACTGGGCTTCACTTCTTACATGCAGGGCTACATAGTCACAGGAGCGCCCCCACCCCTTACCAACTTTCTGACCTGACATCAAACAGTGGGGTTTCCTCAACAGGCCTTTTACTGCTAAAAACAAGAGTTTTATCCATAAAGACTCTTTTCTCCAAAGTTTCCTTAAAAAAAAAAAAAAGAGGTTTTTCCACATACCTCTAGTAAGGTATGTGGAAAGAGTAAGCACTAACTCTTAGTGCTTACTAAACACTAAGCACTAAATCTGAAAGCACTAACTCTTTCATGATTTTGAGAGTATACACACTACTCTCAAAATCATCCCTAATAGGAAATCTCCAGTGACAAACAACACATGAAATGACAAAGCTCTTTAGCTTATAAGACAACCCATTCCTACCTTGAACAGCTCTGATCAGCATAAAATTCTTCCTCATACTTAGCTAAAATCTATTTCCAAACATATGCTTTGATATTCTGGAGCCATACAGCCTACGAATATCTGAAGACTGCCATAATGGTCCCCTAAATTTTGTACCAATGCTAAACAATTGAAAGATAGACTACTCTTAATGCAATCTGGGGTACTTCTGCTATTCCAGTCCTCTTCCTTGAAAATTGCTCCAGATCCCTAATATTTGTATCATAATGGGTATACAGATATAAACAATAAAGGTATTGCTAAGACAATAGCACTTTGCTAAATAAACTTAAGGCTTTTAAACTAGCTTTTTTGCTTATATTCATTTATATTCTAATTAACTAATGCCCACTCTTTCTTATGTGTATTGCTATTTTAGTGTGTCTTCATGGTTTACATGGTGTAATTAATTTTTTGAACTTACAGATAGTACTTCCATTTATCCCTATTTATTTTCATTATGTTAGATCCTCCCTTTTTTGTTTCTTAATTCTGCCTTTCACAGACTGGGTCTCCCATGTAGCACTAGGGCATGCAGAATTGATATTCATGCCATCTATGTTATGTCTCCTCTAAGTATCTGATAGAACAGTGACCAGGACAGAAAAAAAAAAGAGCAAGTTTTGCCGTAGGCTGCTGAGACCCTCCCAAAATGGCCCTACTGATAAGCAAGTTTCTTGGCCAGTGTCTCCTAGAGACAGAGGACCTAAGCAACTATACACGAAGAGAACTAGCTTTTTCACTACCTAGTAAGAAAATCAGAAGCTGAAGTTGGTATGGGTAACTATATTTCAACTAACACATAGGTATTCATTCTTCCTCACACAATTCTCACATACGTTTAGAAAATGAAACTCTGAGGGTTTAATATAAACTTGTTATAGTAAAATGGAAAAAAGAGCCCAATAACTTCAATAACTACCACTGTTTATGGAAAACGAACTTACGAAATGGCCTAAGAAAGACTTTTAAAATTACAGGATCTTATTACCTGCTTAAGCCCCTCTCTAGAAGGGACAGATGTTTTCACAATATCATCAATAGCCCACCACTGATCAGCAAGGTAAAATGCCACAGCTAAAATAGAATAAATGATTATTAACATTTAAGTCTTAAGTCTTAAAGTATATAATATTACTATTTGTTAAGGTTCATATAGATACTCTTAAGTACACCCGTGCTTTAAAACATACAATGTAGCACCATTTATACCATTTTTATTTTACTCATTAAGCATTTAATTGTAAGCAATTAAGAATTGTATTTTCCTAAACTTACAGTCTGAAACAAGTTTTCTTTTTTTTAAAATTCCTTCATGTAGCTACCTTTTAATAAACTTTTAACTGTTTGGAGAAAAACTCCTTAATTTTAAAGATTAAGCAAAAAAGAGACCTGTGAGTGAGTCCTCAGGTGAAAAAAGAGCAAGAATTTTCTGCGTCTGATCTCCACCATAAAGAGGTACAAAGCCTACATTTGACAGGCTAATAGGAATCTGAAATGACAATTGATTAAAGATCAGTGAAGAGTCTGTTAAAAAATACAGGACAAAAACACCATGATTCTACCAAAATATTAACTTAGCCTACATTAATGCTAATTATATAACTTCATTTCATAAAAGGTATTTCTAGTCTCAAAAAAAGTAAATGAGAATTTCCTTTTGTGGAACTTTATTCTCTTGGGGAAAAATAAGAATGTTTACTTCAATAAATATTACTGTGCTCTAGCCATAAGTCTAATTAAGTAAAAACAAAAGAATAGTATGGTCTACAAAATCATTAAAAAACAACTACAATTTATCATGTTATTTAAACTATTGGGGGAGACTCTATTCTGTAAAAAAAGATACCAGATAGGTAAATTTTTTCCTACTTTTTGAGATACAAAGCAATACTTTAAAATCTTTGTGCCTTCATTAATCTAACACCAATTCCCCATTTACAGACAATATTTCCATTTAGAGAATGAGAAAATATTGGTACTTGAAAAGATTTTTTTAAAGAATACCTTAAATGAACATAATTTTCCAGAAGAAAAGTCTCAGGGCTAGAGAGGTTAGAGCATCTACCTACCCTAAAGTTCACAGTGGAACTCCAATGATTCCAAGTCTAATAACCCATTGCAATATATCACAGCTTACTAATTTGAATTTTTTATTTTAATATTTTATAAAAGGAAAGATTTGTGACACAAAAATGTGTGATTTAGTGTTTTGTTTATTTAAAAATATATTAATATCACAAATTGCAAATCTAACAAAAATTTGAGTTAGCTCAAATGATAATCAGTCTTAGCAAAATTGGTTAACTACTCAATCTTAAAGGCACAATGCAAATATTAAGCAATAACCTGTAGAGTTTCTTTTTAAAACTTGATCATGCTACTATACTAACAAACAAATATTTATCCATTTTACTGATGTCTGCTAATACACATTTCAAAAATGACTAGTTAACACTTTAAAGTGATAAAAAAATAAAAGGATATTATTTTCATGTACAAATTCAACTGAAAAGGTTGATTAAAATCACTGCAGAACACCTTACCGTAATATTGAGAAGAGAAAAACGCTCAGGATTTTCAGGGTCCCCACACCTTAGATCAGACATATAATCTTCAGCAGAATTTTCCAATTCCTCATGAGTGCAATTATCCAGCATATCCACAGGGAATGCCATCCTCTTTAACAAACAACATGGGACAAAATGTTTCAGAATATGAAATGCTAGCTTCCTTTTCTCACAGAAAAAACTTTTTATTGTAACATCTCAACATTTTATTATAAGAAAAGGTCTTTTTCACTATGACAAGTCAGACTGTAACTTGGTCTGCTGACTTAACAATGTATGTCGAAAAGAATATTTTTAAACATCATTTGAATTAAAAATTAAAAATAAAATAGGACAGGAATTAATGGTGATTCTTAAAATAATATAAATACATCTATACAGGTATACAATATATGTATTTGCATATAAACACACAAATAAATATATCCTCATACAGTTGTCAACATTACGAGTCACTATACAAAGACATAAGGGAACTTTCTGGAATGACAGAAATGTTCTATAACCGCATCATGGAGATGGTTGCTCCACCCTATAAATTTACTAAAACAAAAAATCATTAAACTAAACAGCTGCAATGGGTAAATGCTATAGTATATAAATTATATCTCTCATACATACATACAGCTGTTTAAAAAAAACAAACAGCACCTTAATGGGAAAAAGCTAAACACTCTCCCACTAAAGTCAGGAAAAATGACTCCACTACTGAATAAAATTATATAGGTACTTGCCGATGCAATTATACTAGGGGCATAACAACTGGGTATGGGTGTATGAACTATCTCTAGATCAATTTGCAAATAATACATTTAACTGAAACCCCCCCAAAAAAAATCAATGGAAAAACTATTCCAAATAAGAAAATGCAGTGAAACAGCAGGATATAGTTACACATAGGAATCAAATCCCCATATACACAATAATAACCAGTAAAAAGAAATCATAAATGGAAAAGACCGCATTTACAACAGCAAAAATAAAAATGGGCTTAAATTTAACAATAAACAATACCAATCCTATATAAGGAATACAACATTCCCGAAAGAAGCAAAGTGAACAAGAAAGACAAAACATGTTCTTGGAAAGGAAAATTCAACATCATTAAGGTGGCAGCACTCTCTAAAATAATCTATTAGTCTAATGCACTCCTAACGGAAATACCTGTAGGGTTTTATTTTTTCCTGAAGAAAGAAATGTTGATTATAAAATTAACTTGAAAGAATACATAAGCAAGAAAAGCTAGGAAAATCCTGAAAAAAAAACCAGGGCAATGACTGGTGAAAGGTGCAAGCCCTGTCAGATATTGAAAGGTGTTACTAAGCTTCTATAATTAAAACAATGTGATACAGGCATATGAATGGACAGAGGAATGGAACAAGATCTAGAAATACACCCTAATGCCTATGGAAACTGAGTACATGAGTAAGGGCCATCTCAATGAGTGGGAGAAAGAACTTTTTAGTAAGTAGTATTGTTTCATTGGTCTGTATTACGATGTTTAAATGAGACATTAATATTGCCCACTTTTGAACTTCTTGTGTCTGATATCAATTATATATTGTGTCAGCTCTTTCCATCCATTATTTCTGCAAGAAACATAAGTTCTGTTGCATCTATCACTTAATTTGTTTCTTTTTATTGCTGTGCTTTTCATTCCATCACATTCAAATAAAATTTAGCCATTCAACAGCTAACTAATGGGCATTTGCGCTGTTACGAGCATTCCTGCTTGAATATTTTGGTGAATATGTCTATATACTAGTTTGTGTTAGGTCTGTGTACCCACATTAACCTACCTATCTAAAAGTAAGTGAAGCAGGCACATGCATCTTGATGTGATGCAACAGGAATATCACACCCTAATCTAGTCAAGCCATTAAACAAGTATGTCAAATTTAAAATAACCTAGTTTCTTTAATAAATATATAGCATGGAGTTTAAAGAAAAGAGTGGAAACTAATGTAAATTAAAAGACACTGGGAGCATTTGAGATCCTGCTCCCTACCACTATCCTCAGTGCTCAAATAAACTCTTACAAAAATTCTCCACAAGTGTGGATGTTTCGTATGTTGAAATTTACTTTGCACAGTGTGGCAGGATTCTGAAAAAGCCCACCTAGGGCCCCCCAGCAGACTGAAACTGATGCTAGGTACAAGCAAGGGCCCATTGTGCCCCACCAGTTCCCATTATACACTAGGTGAACTTGGGTGAGTCTCTCTCAGAACTGAAGGCCTCCTTGCTCTGAGGCCCTAACTTTATTTGAGCTGCTCTTAGAAAACCCTTGATGTGGAGTAAGGTTTGGACCAGGGATCCAAACCTGGTCCAAACCCACAACCCTTGGTTGTGCGTTGGATCCCAGGTCCACACCAAGAAAAAGAAAAGAGAATGGGTGGCTGCTTTTCACTTCAGTTTTTAGTTTGACTGTTTACTCAGAGTGTGAACAACATTTTTCCTAGTTAAATGAAAGACTGAACTCTTTAGCTCTGAAAGATAAAGGACATGTGCTTCCCCAACCCCAACAGCCAATGGGACGATGACAGTTGTTCAGACCCCCAAATCCGAGGCAGAGATGGGTGCTGTGAGGCAGCCACTGCAGTAGGGCAGCTGATCCCAGAGAAGCCAGCAGGAGCCCTGGCAATAAAGGCAGGGTGCCCTTTAATGGGTTCACCCCGGGAGAAAGGCCCAAGGGAGTGGCCGTGCTTTGGAAAGCGTTCTGGTTCTGGTGACTTCCCATGAGCTCTCACTAGGCATTGCTCAAGTATTCTTAGGTAACAAAGAAAAAATGGGACACTTAAGAGAGACTGCAACCAGATGTACCAAGGAAAGGATTCTGATTTGTGCAGTCTTAAAAATTTCCATGATACAAAGTTAAATAAAAAATAAACATATGACCACACTGGCCCAGTGGCTCAGTTGGTTGGAGCCTCGTCCAATACACCAAAAGGCTGCAGGTCTGATTCTTGGTGGGGGCACATGCCTAGGTTGTGGGTTGGATCCCTGGTCAGGGTGCATACAGAAGAGAACTGATGTTTCTCACACTAATGTTTTTCTTTCTCTCTCCCCATCTTGTTCCCCACTCTCTTCTCTAAAAAAAAATTAATAAAAAATATTTAAGAATATGTAAAAAATAAACATATGGTTATGCCATCAGCTGTGCCAAGACGAAGAAATATGGCCCAAATGAAAGAACAGAGTAGAGCCTCAGAAAGACAGCTAAGTGGAAAGGAGATCACCAACCTACCTGGTAGAGAATTTAAAGCCCTGGTAATAAAAATGCTCACAGATCTCATCGAGCTTATTTGAAAAATGAAAAAACAAATGAAGGATACCCAAAGTAAAGCAAAATATTTAAGGAACCAACAGTGACAGGAAGGAAACCAGAACTCAAAGCAATGACTTGGGACAAAAGGAAAAAATAAACATCCAACCAGAACAAAATGAAGAAAAAATAATTTGAAAAAGTGAAGAGACTCTCATAAACTCTGGGACAATCGGAAACATTCCAATATCTGAATTATAGGAGTGCCAGAAGGAGAAGAGGAAAACCAAGAAATCAAAAACTTATTTGAACAAATAATGAAGGAAAACTTTCCCAATCTGGGGAAGGAAATAGACTTCCAGGAAATCCAGGAAGCTCAGAGAGTTCCAAAGAAGGTGGACCCAAGGAGGAATACATCAAGGCACATCATAATTACCATTACCCAAGATTAAAATGAAGGAGAGAATCCTAGAAGCAGCAAGAGATAAGGGGACAGTCACCTACAAAGGAGTTCCCATCAGACTGTCAGCTGATTTCTCAAAAGAGACCTTACAGGCAAGAAGGGGCTGGAAAGAAGTGTTAGAAGTTATGAAAGGCAAGGATCTACATCCAAGATTGCTCTATCCAGCAAAGTTTTCATTTAGAATAGAAGGGCAGATAAAGCACTTCCCAGATAAGGTCAAGTTAAAGGAGTTCATCATCACCAAGCCATTATCATATGAAATGTTAAAGGGACTTATCTAGAAAAAGCAGATCAAAAATATGAACGGTGAAATAACAAACTCACAACTATCAACAAATGAACCTAAATGAAAAGAAAAACAATGAGAATAAAAACTAAGCAAACAACTAGAACAGGAACAGAAGCAGAGAAATGGACATCACACGGAGGGATTTCAGTGGAGAGGGGGAAGGTAGGGATAGGAGGGAAAAGGTACAGGGCAGAAGAAGCATAATTAGTAGGCATAAGGTAGACGGGGAGAGATAAAAAATGGTATGGGAAACAAAGGACTCAAAGAACTTGTATGTACAACCCATGGACACAAACTAAGGGAGAGCAGAGTGCTAGAGGGTTGGGGCAGCAGTGTGGAAGGGGGAAAGAGGAGGGAAAACTGCGATAACTGTAATATCACAATCGATAAAAAATATTTTAAAAATTTTTTAAAGATTTAAAAGAACTTGGTGTTTATGACTGGGAACCTGATTTTATACAAATATGTATATTTTCAATCAAATGTATTATTTTATTTTAATAATCAAAGCCTAGAAATAGAACACATAAACTATTTATGAAATCAATACCATACAGATTTCCGGGTAACTTATAAAAGAAGAATAAAACTATGAATTTCAACAGAAATCAATCAGAAGCTTATGTAAGTAAGATGTTATGGCTCAGAAAAGGACCTTAAAATAAAACACTAGTTTGCGGCAGTAAGACAGGACCACGAGCCAGGTCTCCCTAGCAGGGGTGTCCAACTCACAACCTAGGATGGCTATGAATGTGGCCCAACATAAAATTGTAAATGTACTTAAACCCTTTTTTTTTTTTTTGGCTCATCAGTTTTCGTTAGTGTTTATATATTTAATGTGTGGCCCAAGACAACTCCTCTTCTTCCAGTGTGGCCCAGAGATGCCATCCATCTTCCCTTTACCCTACTGTTGGCTGAACTTCAATTGCCTTCATACCACCATCAGCATGTTCCCCAGTGTGTTGAGTGTCTATTATCACTATTTAATATTTTTCTCAATTTATTTTTTAAACACATACCTCTCATCCCATCCCCCCGTTTTTAATTTGGTAAAATATACACATAAAATTTACCACTTTAAGCAAGTCTGAGTTTAC